GCAGCCCTGTTTAGGGAAGCTTTTAATGTTTAATAGGTTATTGTATTTTAGTGTTCTGTTGGAAGCTGCCCAGAGTAGCTGGGGAAACCCAGCCAGATGGGTGGGTGGGGTATAAATAATAAATTATTATTATTATTATTATTATTATTATTATTATTACTGCTGTTGGGCTCTGCATGAGGGACACCTGGCTGGCCACTGTGAGAACAGATTATTGGACTCGATGGGCCCCTGACATGGTCCAGTGGTCTCATATGTTCTCATAGGAGTTTATGAGGCAGTCTGGGCCAGAGGCTGCTGTTGAAATCCCGCCCCCCCCAACACATACTTTTCTCTTTCTTAAAAAATTAAATTTTTATTACTTTTCCAATATTATTCCAATAATAGCCGCATCATAACAATGCCAATTCATATCCAATTAATACAATTATTAATACAGATTAATCAAATACCAAAGTACAGATTTTAGTTAGAGTAGCTAGATTTGATGGCTCCCTAAGGGTTTTTCACCCCCTGCATTCCAAAATCTTATTAATTTCACTTACGTTCCAGTTAAAATTATAATCCTTTAACACACACACACACACACACTTCTCAGACCCCTCAAGTGTCCTGATATAATCGGGGCGTCACGAATTGACAGAAGCCCCCTGGCTTCTGTTCACAATCCCAAATGCCATGATTCTGCTGCCCTGCACTGATCGAGCCAGGGCAAGGGTCCAAAAGATGGGCATCAGGAGCCTGGGGGCAGGCCAGGGGGGCCTTCTGCTAGGCCACGCCCAAGACTCCTTGGAGCAGGGGTCGGCAAACATTTCCAGCAGGGGGCCAGTCCACTGCCCCTCAGACCTTGTGGGGGGGCTGGACTATATTCTGAGGGGGGAAAATGAACGAATTCCTATGCCCCACAAATAACCCAGAGATGCATTTTAAATCAAAGCACACATTCTACTTGTGTAAAAACAGGCTGATTCCCGGACCGGATTGAGAAGGCAATTGGGCCGGATCCGGCCCCCGGGCCTTCGTTTGCCTACCCACGCCCTGGAGGTTGGAGAAAGGTAGGAGGTGGGGAAGGGAGGGGCAAGGAAAGAGGCAGTGGCAGGGAGGGGGCTAGCGATGGGGTCAGGGTGGGGTCCACTTTGCCCTCCCCAAATGTTTGTGGGTATGATTTCTTTCCCTCCCCCAATGAACATCCATCACAGGCATTCCGGGCAGGTTCTCTAAGCAGAATAAGTTGGCAAATCCATCCTAGATGGACAGTGATTTAGAGTGGGAAGATTGTCTTTGAAAAGCTCACCGCAGAATGATTATCTCCTTCGTGGCTTACAAAACGCATGCAACGTTCAGATATACTTGCCCGGGTTTTATTTTCCCGTTCTAAGTAACTTCTGCACACCTTTAATCCTGAAAAGGCTTCCCCCCGCCCATTTTTTTCTTTTTCCCCGAGCCCACGTGGGTGAGCGATTTGTCAAAAGGAAGCTCCCGATTTTATTACCATTTATTATCATTTCAAGGGGAAATATATGAAGCCAATTATGCGTTGTGGATTAATTTCACAAATGGCCCACATTTTTCGCCAGCTAAGCTGGAACGATGCCCTTTGCAAAACAGCCCTTATCTTAGAAATGCCAGAAATAACTGTCAAAGTTTCTGCTGCTCCCCCCCCCCCGCAAAATATTTTTTTAATGTGTCAGTCAGTACATCCATTGAGGCTGCGGATGTTAGAGGACCACTGAAAGAATCTATATGGAAATATAGATCATGGAAATGCAGGAATCTCAGCTAAAGTATCCCTGACAGGGGTGTCAACTTGAATAAAATATGGGTGGGTGGGTGGCAGCTAAGCCCCGCCCCATATAATCAATCACATGACATGGCACACAAATGTGGCCTCTCTTTTTTTGCTCTTCAGAACATGGCAACCCTATTTTATGTTCTTAGTAGACTGAATTCTTCCTCCTCTTCACTCCTCCTACCTGATGGCCAACAAAGACAGGTGAGTCTTTGACAGGTGACCACACATTTGTCAATCACCTTGTGCTTTGAAGGCAACAGTTCTCTGTGTGTGAGTCACAGCCAGCTCTGGCAGCTGAGAGCTCTCCAGGGTCCTGATGGCCTTCAGTGATAACTTGATAGGGGCCCACTAAGCCCCTTTGAGAGGGACGCGGGTGGCGCTGTGGGTAAAACCTCAGTGCCTAGGGCTTGCCGATTGCATGGTCGGCGGTTCGAATCCCCGCGGCGGGGTGAGCTCCCATCTTTCGGTCCCAGCTCCTGCCCACCTAGCAGTTCGAAAGCACCCCTAAGTGCAAGTAGATAAATAGGTACCGCTTTCTAGCGGGAAGGTAAACGGCGTTTCCGTGTGCTGCGCTGGTGCTGGCTCGCCAGAGCAGCTTCATCACGCTGGCCACGTGACCCGGAAGTGTCTGCGGACAGCGCTGGCTCCCGGCCTCTTAAGTGAGATGAGCGCACAACCCTAGAGTCGGACACGACTGGCCCGTACGGGCAGGGGTACCTTTACCTTTACCTTTAAGCCCCTTTGAAGGGCAACTGACAGTGCCAATCACCTGATTTGTTCTGATAGGGACAGGCTGCATGAAGGACTTCTCCATCAGGACCTCCCCAGTGCAGCCAATTGAGCTTTCAGAGCCCATCAGCTGTTGGGTGCTGAGCAACCATCCCTTTGAAAGACTCTTCTTCTTTCAAACTGCTTACAAAGGGATATCCAAGTCCATTTTCTAATTGATGAAATGAAAAGGCTTTTAGCAAGTGTCAGCACGTGTGTTTTTTATGTGACACGCCAAAAAGTTTTATTTAACAAAAAAATATCATCAGAGATGACACCAAAATAATAATAAAGTTAAGCCTTTTGAGGTCAAGAGCCACAACTGTAGAGCGAGAGGCGGTAAAAAGAGTCCTTTGGGAGACGGCTACTGCACCCACTAGGAAACGAGGACCCCTGTGGAGCTGGCCTTGCTGCCTGACCCCTCAGCGCTGTCCTTGGAGGGAGCCTTCTGGTCGTCCTCGCCCATCAGGCAGATGTTGTGTTTTTCCCAGAACTCGTTCAGCTCCCGCCCTTTCGTCTGCAGCTGCTGGGTCAAGGCCTTTATGATATTGTTGATCTGCTCTTTGTTATTTTCCAAGGCTGGGAGAACTTCTTTCACAGTGCGTTCTACCAAGACACCTCCCACCATCCAGGAACATTTCTTCGTAGGGTCCACTTCTCAGAGTGTTTCAATTACCAGCTTGTGCTCATTCACCTCCAGCTCCAGCTCAGATGCCTTTCAGGCTAGACCTCACTGCTCCTGACGCAGATAGTTAAATCCAACTACCACCTGCTCCACCGTCATGGCCTTGCCAGCACCCCCAGCTGAAGAAGCAGTGCCAACGCCGCTGGGAGGAGCCGCCGGGCCACTTTTCGTCTTGCCGCTCTCTGCCATCTTCCTTCACCTGGCCAGACCCTCGAGAGACATCAATAATAATAATAATAATTTATTATTTGTACCCCGCCCATCTGGCTGGGTTTCCCCAGCCACTCTGGGCGGCTTCCACAGAGACCAAAAATACACTAAAATGTCACAGATTAAAAACTTCCCTGAACAGGGTTGCCTTAAGATGTCTTCTGAATGTCAGGTAGTTGTTTATCTCTTTGCCATCTGATGGGAGGGCGTTCCACAGGGCAGGTGCCACTACCGATAAGGCCCTCTGCCTGGTTCCCTGTAGCTTTGCTTCTCGCAATGAGGGAACCGCCAGAAGGCCCTCGGCGCTGGACCTCAGTGTCCGGGCAGAACGATGGGGGTGGAGACGCTCCTTCAGGTATACAGGGCTGAGGTCGATTAGGGGGTTCCAAAGTTCAGGCGGAGCCAAACTAAATAATCGATTCCTCCTCACCATTAGGGAACAAATAGTATGTGACACTTGGAAGAAGAAAAAATCACAAGTTTCGCAGACTGAAGCGGTCAAACGGGCACATTGGGGGCAGGGCAGTCCTTCGCGTCAACTGGTTCCGAGCTGCTATAATTATAAAATGCAGCTCTCTGGTTAAGAGTTTGTAGATGCTCTTTTGTAACAGCTGCATTAAGTTAACCTGCCTGATGCGATCTTTATTAATACGCCTGCTAGCTGTTTTTATGGGGTAGTCTACTGTCAGCCAAGCCTGTTAAATGTCATGGCTTTTGTTAAACCCCTATTGAAATGCAGATAAGCACAATGCCACATTATAAGACTGGAGAAATGCTAAGAGAGAGAGAGAGAGAAAAATGTGTTTTCTTATTTGCAAGCCATATAAAACATCATCTGCTTAGTCTTACTTTGGGGTGGGGGAACTTGCAGAAAGCTGGCAAAACGAATGCTGTTTTTTATTGTTTTTTTTTAAAAAAAAAATAAAGAGTGTTTTTATAGCACCTCCTGTTAATCTTCTGAAACTGTCTGGAGACTATTAAAAATGTGTGCCGGTTAGAAAAGAGACTTTCTAGTATGTGAGATAAAAGTCTATTATGTGGGATTTGCAAACATTGCTCTGTGGGAATTTAATATATCAGAGGAACATTCCATGCTCGTGAGCAGTGGGGGAAATATCAATCAAATGAGCATTCTGGGAAAGAAATGGGAGGGGGACAGTCAGATGGTCAATACACGTTGGGCACCCCAGATTGATGGACACCTGGAAGATACACCCCACAGCAAGGCCTCTGGTCATGATGCTTCAACTTTGGGAGAAATATAGGGAACACATTATTATTGGATGGGAGGGAAAGAGGGAGTTCTGCCCAACCCCATCAACCTCTGAGCCTTCCATTGATCCATTTGGAGGAGTCTTTGCCAACAAAGGATGCATTTAGACATGGGAGATATTGCATTAGTTGTCCTCATTCTAATGCTAGCAGTTTTGTCCCATATTACGATGTTTCTTTCACGCTGCAGTACCTGTTGTGCTATGGAACAATGGCTTTTTCACTGATACGCCGGCATGTCATGCTAAGTTTTATTCATGCCAGTGGGTGTGGTGTGGCACAATAGCTCTGTCGGTAGGGCATGAGAATCTTAATCTAAGGGCCATGGGTTCAAGCCCCACGTCGGAAAAAGGTTCCTGCACTGCTGGGGGTTAGACTAGATGACGCCCGTTGCATAGGCATAGCCAGGACTTTTGTTGGAGGGCAGAAATGACATGATTGGTCAGTTAAATATTTCTATTGTTTTACTTCAGGGGTCAGTAAACTTACCACGCCTCGGGCCGGTGTCTCATGTAGGACTTGCGTTCGACCAAGCGACTCTTCCGGTCGAGTCCTCCAATGTGATTAACGACCTGAACGTTTGACGAGGCTCCAAGCGCGTTCCCCCATTCCGCAGAGTATCCAGCACGCAGGGAAGGGGCCGAGATAGTATGAGCTACATTGCAAAGAGATTTATTCCTAACTACACAGACAGAAAAGAAATATTCATGCGCTCTCTGTGAAAGCAGAGAGCAACTGGAATAAAGGAAACCAGTAAACATCACATCCGTCTCCTGTCTTCCATGAGACTTCCAACAGCCTGGAATCTCTGGAATGTAAACAGAGTCTTGTGACTCCAAACAACTGCACAGTGGCACAAACAGAAACTAGCATCTCCAGCAGCAATTACGCGGCAGGCCGGAGGTCGGGGGAGCGCGTGCCCATACACGTGCGCAAGCATTCTTTCCGGTGCACTTCCAGGTCAGAGAAGCACCAGAAATGGCTTGAGCGCATGTGCACAGGCCTCCTCCAACCTGGATGTGCACCGGAAAGAATGCTTGCGCATGCGCACAAGCTATTTCCAGTGCTCCTCCGCCCCGGAAGTGGGCAGCCACACACTCCTGAGAAAAACCCCACCCCACCCTCCCACTATATATAAGGGTCTGGTGACCTCTGTTTCAGTGTATCTAAAGAAGTGTGCATGCACACGAAAGCTTACACCCAGAACAAACTTAGTCAGTCTCTAAGGTGCTACTGGACATTTTTTAAATTTTTTAAAATCAAGTTTGACCGTTTGGTAATTTGGTGTGAGTCTCGGTATTTGAACCTTCCAGGGGAATTTCCCCCACAGCCTCCTCCCCGAACTGGCGATACCGTGGATGAAAACCTGGGACCATCTGCATGCAAGACATTTCCTCCACCGCCGCGCTCTCTCCACTGCCTGACGGATTGCACCTATCAACCGTACAATCGGCGGATGTTTCTATTATTAGCTACCTGAACAGTTTATCGCTGCTCATCACGAACGTCGGGGATAGGATAGCTTCCAAATAAAATCAGTCCTTGTAAGGACTTCAGATTCCTGCTCACGGGCCTGTTTTTACAAAGCAACCTTGCCGAGAGGAACCAGAGAGAGAGAGCGCATTTGTCTCCTGACATACTGCTCCATGATGTGCCCAGAGATGAGTTAATCTGTGCCCCCCCCCCGTACGCACACAAATAGTTACTTGGACGGAGGGTTGGGCAGAGGCAGAAAGCAGAATTAGAGCCATTCATACATCACCCAAACGGCTGTCTTCAATGGCAACGCAATCTGCAGAATTATAGCTGCCCCAACTCCCCTTCCCCATTCATGGGAAAACAAAAGGCCTTTTGCGAAAGGGGAAATATTTCAGAAACAAATATTTCGACGTTGCTGCGCCACCTTTTCTGTAGCCCAATCCATCTCTCCGGCAACTCTGAGTCGGAAATCGTTGGCCAACCTCCAACATATAATGGCCTTCAAACAGAGAGGAGAGGAAAAGGCAGGCTCCTGTTTTGCTTCCAAACGACTTGCAGTAAAACCGAAGCGGCCCAGCCTTTTAATTCCATTGTGGGGAGCGAAAACAAAAGCCACAATTAAAGCTGTATATCTCAGCCTCCTCATCCCTGGCAGCCACAATGTCTCCGGGTGCTTTTGTGTAACAAGACTGTCATACGGGGCCCGTTCCTCCGAGCACAGAGAAAGCTCTGCGGAAACACAAACCCTCCAAACAACAAAAAAGCACTGGAGCATCAGCCCAAAGGAAATATTTTCTCCCTTTGAAAAGCTTCTGTGGGCTGCTCTTGAAATTAGGGCTCTCAGTTGCAATGCTTTGAAGCTGAATGACACATTGAAATGGGAGAGAGCAATTTTCTTTCTCTGGGCTGGATCTCTTTGGCTCTGCAGATCATATACCTTTTTCTGCTGGGTACCCCGTTCCATGTCCTTTGTCACTCATGCACAAAGCGAGTGCATTGCCCAGAGGTCATCAGGGATCGGCTGGCAGGTGGATCTCTATTTGCTCAGGGGCAGGGATTGGAGCAGACCGGCGTTTCGGGTTTTGTGACTCCCGTGGTCCCTGATTACCAACCCTGAAATGTGGAGAGCTATAAAAGGGGTAGAAATGTTGCGGGGAAGGATCAGGCCCCAGCCTTGAAGTTCCTTGGGTGAGTTTCTTTCCACCAGTCACATTTTCAGCCTGGCCCTGCCTCACAAGGTTGTTGTGAAGACATGCAGTCTATAGTTAAACTGTGGAACTCATTGCCACAGGAGGCAGTGATGGTCACCAACTTGGATGGCTGTAAAAGAGGATTAGACAAATTTGTGGAGGAGGAGAGGGCTATTGGTGGCTACTAAATCGAATGCTATGTCCTGCCTCTAAGGTGAGAGGCAGATGTGCTTCTGATTCCTAGTTGCTTGAAGCCACAGGAGGGGAGAGTTGCTCTTGCGCTTGGATCCTGTTCTGTGGCTTCCCACAGGCAACTGTTGGGCCCCTCTGAGAACAGGATATTGGTCTAGATGGGCCATTGGCCTGATCCAGCAGCTACTCATTTGTTTGTTTATATTTGCAAGCCAATACCAGGGCAAAAAAGGCCTGAAATATAAGACCATAATAAAATAAACTGCCATAATTTCAGGCAGTAATTAAAGAGATCTCAAAGTCCAGCCAAGCCATCCATAAAATTAATGAAACCACTTTCAAAAACAGTTTTAAACCTGCAGTAAAATAGGCACTCATAATCCCAAACCAGCCTGTGTTCTTAATTAAAAGGCACCTGAACTAAAAGCACTTTGAAGCCAATGGGCCTTCAAAACCCATTTTTTAAGCCAGAACCAGTGAGGACAACCACATTTTCCATGTCTGTGGGTCTGTATGTGGAGACTTACTGCAGAGAAGGCTCTATTTCTCATGCTGTCCATCTAACTGATTTTACAGGTGAGCTAGTAAGCAGAACATCTGATGCTGATCTTCTGTATGCAAACCAGATTTAAAAAAAAACCAAAACAACCCACTGCCCATACGAATATTTGCATGGAATATGCAGAGTTGTCTAGTATTATTAATCACATTTGTCTCCCATTCTTCCAGTGTAGGAATGCACTGCACACAGGCACTGAAAAGATGTGATATTATGCATGATTGGTCCTTAGCCACCCTGATCTCTAGCCTGAAGCAGGGGAGGGTGGGATATAGGAGCCTCACTGTCAGATGCTGGTGGTGGTTGCTCGTGAGTAACCAGGCAGGACTCTGACCTGTCTTTTACAGGTTTTATCGTGCAAACTATTTACAGTGCAGATCTACCAAGTCCATGTCTGTCTCAGTCACTGCCAGAATCCGAGAGTGGCCCCTTCCAGCTTCTCCTCCAACATAAGAACTTCGGCACCCAATGCCGCCTCCTCCCCTCCTTGCATTTCACCCCTCTGCGCAAGGTGGGCGATGGAAGTGGCGTGCGTCCCTCCTGGCCAGCCTGGCCAGGTGAGGCACTGGGACTCTCCGCAGCATCCTCGAGCCCTTTCCTCGCTTGGCTGACCCCTTCCCTCTCTTCTCCACTGGAGGTGTGGCTTTTCCCACCTCTGGAAGAGGAACTGCTCCTCAGGAGTTTCGGAGGCTTTCTGTATCCCAACGTCGTCGTCCCCCGCCTCCCTCCCCATTCCGATGGCAGCCCCCTGACACTGAGGCCACAGGAAAAAGTGAAAGGGTCATTCGGCAATTTGATGGCAGGGGATGGCAGCCAAAACGATCGAGGGGAAGGAGCAACTCCCCTACGATTAAAGGTTACAACATGTAGGGCTTTTAAATTTGGAGAAAAGACAAGTAAGAGGAGGTGCAATAGAGATTGGAAGTCTAACCCAAAGGTGGGGTGAGGGGTGGTGGATGGTGATGGGAAAAGGAATTATTTGTGGGATTGAGTCAATTAAAAAAAAAAGCTATGCATGGTGGGGAGGTAGTGGAGAGAGACAAGGCTTTCTCTCTTTCTCCTAACACTAGAACTCGTGGACTAATAATAATAATAATAATAATAGGTGCAAGCTGAGGGTCTCCTTGCACAAGCATTACCAAAAGTGGATTATTGCTATGCTGACCAACAGATACTGAATGCAAGAAGCCTTGGGTTCATTAACTGCAAACTTGAATATCTTTAAAAGAGGGGAAGGAGACCAGCCGGGATGGCTGTGCTCTATCAACACCATCGGAGGCAGAATGCCTCTGAATATCAGTTGCTAGGAATCACAAGTGTGTAGAGGGGCGTTGCACTAAAATGTTGCTGGTGGCTTTGTTAAGTTGTGGGCGACACAGCGATTCTCCAAACAGCTCTTGTTTATTCACAGGTCAGAACAGAACTGAACTGAAGGGTTCAGCCAGCCTGCATATATAGAGCTCCACTACAACGCAACTGTAACAACTTTCTGTAACTATTCAATCACTGAACGTCACTTTCGATCCCTTATTTGCATATGTGGACCTGAACTATCTACAGTATCCCCCTGCTGGCCCAGGGTGAGAACTTCAGTACATAACAGGCTTCCTGTGGGCAACTTTTTGTTCTCCAGCATGGCTCTTCATGACCAAACTGCGGGAGGCAGTGGAAGACAGGAGTGCCTGGCGTGGGAGGGAACAAGCTTGTTTTCTGCTGCTCCATAGGGGAGGAACCGAACCAATGGATTCAAGTTACAAGAAAGGGGATTGCAACTAAACATTAGGAAGAACTTTTTGACAGTAAGAGCTGTTTGACTCTGTTTGAACAACTGTGGAAGGCGGTGGGCTTTCTTTCCTTGGAGGTTGGCTGGACATCTGCTAGGGATTCTTTAGCTCTGATTCCTGAGTTGCAGGGGGTTGGGCTAGATGACC